GTAGATACACTCCTTGGAGAGAACAATCATGGGAGAAAGAAGGGCTGCTTATGCACAGGGAGACAGCTCGGGGCAGGAGTGCATGGAGGGATGGACACAGGGAAGAGGTAACTATCAGGAGGAAATAGGAGGGGAGCTGTCGCATTGTGGTAAATTGTGGTCAATGTCACGAGACAAAATATTTGTGAACTGCTGTATGGAAAGTGAATTTGCTCTGTAAATTTTCACCCAAATCACAATTTAAAAAAAAAAAAAAGAAATGAAACAAAGCAAAATCTCTAATTCTCAACATAAAATATTAATATTAGCTTTCTTCAACTGAAATGAGTCAGCCCTATTCAAGAGGCAGATATAAGATATTGCTCTCATTTAATAATCAAGAAAATTGAGACAGTAGTTTAGTGATATTTTCAGAATCACAAGGAGGAAATACTGAAGACAGGAAAGAAATCATTAGCTTTTTATCGTGTCTTTACACACTAAATTCCAACATGTTACAGACCATCAAGTCACTTTTTGACTCATAATGACCCCATGTGACAAAACAGAACTGTCCCGTAAGTATTTTAAGGCTATAATCTTTACAGAGCAGATTACCAGGTCTTCTTCCTGCAGTGTGTGGGCGGGTTCGAACCACTAACCTTTTGTTTAGCAGCTGAGCACTTAATTGTTGAGCCACAAGGGCTTCTTAATTCTGACATATAAAACAAAACCCAATGCTGTCAAGTCATTTTGCAGTCAGAGTGACCTAGGACAAACTAGAACTGCCCCATATGGTTTCTAAGATTGTAATCTTTATGGGAGCTACCTGCCACATTCCACCCCAGAAAAGTGGCTGATGGGTTCAAATGGCCAACCTTTCAATTAGCAATACTGTGCTACCAGAGCTGCTAATTCCAAAAAAACTTAAGTGTTTTAGAGAAAATTCAAACCAGGGTGCCACTTTAATCCAACTGGCAAACCCATTCTCTTACCTCAGCATCCCATAGGCAAGAGTAGATCTAAGAGTTGTGGGTCCAAAATGCGTGATATTTCTTCGGTGGAGACTCTCTTCTGTCAATGCAATGCCCACAACTATTTCATTATCATGGATATTCAAAAGAACCTATAATAAATTTAAATAAGACAGAAGAAAATAATTTTAGAATTGCTCCAACTGCACTTGTAAGATTTTTTATTCGAAGATTTTTAACTTTTTTATTGAGGTTATACTCTGCATACAGTAAAGTGCATAAATCTTAAGTGTATACCTAATGAATGTTTATCTATCTATAAACCTGTGGAACCACCATCCAGATCAAGATAGAGAACATTTCTAATACTAAACGTTCTTTCTGGCCCCTCCCAGTCAGTCTCCCCACCCTAGGGAATCATTCATTTGACTGCTAGCTCATCACAGATTAAAACCCAACTCATTGCTATCAAGTCAATTCCAACTCATAATAACCCCTGCTGCATCTCCAAGGCTGAAAATCTTTATGGAAGTAAACTGCCTCATCTTCCTCCCATGGAACAGGTGGTGGGTTTGAACTGCCGACCTTCTGGTTAGAAGCCAAATGCCTTACCCACTATACCACCAGAGCACCTTGAATCATATTATAATTAAAAAAAACACAAAAAACTCAAAGCCATTGACTCAGGTAATTTTTTAAATTTTGTATTGATTTTATTCCTTTCATTCACTGTATTTATAAGCTGATTATAACTAGATTTCCCCAAAAACTTTTATAATGTAAACATATTTTGAAGGATTTGGGTTTTTTAATATACTTAAGTTTTTCAAAAAACTTTTTTGGAAAATATTTCAGAGACAGAAAAATGTTAAGAACCCTGTTAACCCTTCACTTAAATCCACCAATTATTAATGCTTTGCTACATTTGCTTTATCACCTGTTACATTGTTTTTTTTTCCCCTTAACTTGACTTACTTAAGTAATGTTTGTGTAATAATGAGTTTCTTATATTAGTTATATGTTTTTCTAACACACACAGAATACTGAATATAAACTAATCAAAAATGTTCTTAATCTTACACTTCCATTTCCTCCTCATGATCTTAACAGCAGCAGCTGATGCCTGTACCACCTTTTTACATGCCAGGATTTGTTCTACACACTTGACATTCATTATCTCATTTCATATTTATACCCTCTGAGCTAGGTACTTGTTGTTATTGTTGTTATGTGCCGTGAAGTCGGACCTTACTCATAGCAATGCCTCCTTGGGTTTCTGAGGCAGTATCACTATGGAAGTAGATTGCCCAGCCTGCCTTCTGAGGAGTGGCTGGTGGGTTTGAACCACCAGCCTTCTGGTTAGCAGTCAAGTGCCTTAGGCACTATACTACCAGAGCTCCAGGTACTTGTAATATCCTCTTTTTATAGATGAGGAAATTACCCAGTGTCACACAGCTCGTAAGCTGCTAAACTCAGGAAGGATGGCTTGAGTCTGTGCTCTGAGATGCTTTGCTAACTTTTAGACCTCACCGTTCTAGTTACCTAGTTAGCCTGCTCATTGTCCTGGCAGTTCTAGGAGATACACAAAAAAGAGAAAGCACACAAACAAGTCACTTGCTCCAGACTGAAGAGCCCCAAAAGCAACAGAAAATGATTTCTGGGTAAAAATATCATCTGCTAGGAGCCTTTTTTCAGATGTCAGTCATTTAAAGAGTCTAGTTCATGCTGCCCACATGTGAATCACATGTAGTGGAGTACTGGGACCAAGGCGAATAAGCATGTTGAGAAGGACTATGAGCTAGTGTCTGGGTCTGTGAATCTAGGAGCACCAAGAAAGAAGCGAGCTGGCTCTGGGATTAGTGTTAGCGTTGATGTCCTGATGTCAGGAGGTCAAAGCTTATTTTCAAACGTGCTCTGCTTGTTTAGGTGCAAACTCTACAACCAAGACATACAATTTTTTTTTTTAATCTAGTTGAACTTTACAATTTCAAAGTCCTCACAATGTTAGTAAAAGGTACTATATTCAAAATTAGAAAACTCAATCTACTGACGACTAAGGAGTCAATGGCTGGTACAATGGCTAAGGCGTTTTTGGCTGCTAAGCAAAAGGTCAGCGGTTCAAACCAATCAACTGCTCTGCAGGAGAAAGATGAGGTAGTCTGCTTCCATCAAGATTTATAGCTTCAGAAACCCTATGGGGCAGTACCACTCTGTCCTACTGGGTTGCTATGAGTTGGAACTGACTCAATGGCAGTGGGCTTGAATTTGGTACTGATCCTTGCTACGTACAGTAAAAGTTTCTGAGAAAGCCAGAACTTAAATAAGACAGATACCTGCCAGAGAAAGAAAACTAAAACAAGCAATAGAAAAGTGCTAAGACTGTACCTTGTCAAAGGCAGGAAACTTGTGAGACCCAGAAAAACAAGATAGTCCTGTTCCAGCTCTCACAGGTTTCACTGAACCAGGTGGTGTGCCACATACTTTAAATGTATCACCTCATTTATCCTTCAGAACAACCTTAAAAGGTACAGTAATACACCCTTATCTGGGGTTTCGTTTTCTGCGGTTTCAGGTACACACGGTCAACTTAGTCTGAAAGTGTTAAATGAGTAGCAAGATGAAATCTCTTGCTGTCCTGCCCAGCACCTGAATCATCCCTTTTGTCCGGAACATCCATGCCATATACACTTCCTGCCCATTAGTTATTGTTGTTAATCTCTTACTGTACCTAATTTAGAAATTAAACTTTATTATAGGTGTGTATGTATTGGACAAGACATAGTACATATAGGGTTTGGTACTATCTGCAGTTTCAGGCACCCATGGGAGGTCTTGGAACGCATCCTCCATGGATAAGTTGGGGGGACTACTGTATATACTATTATTGGGTTCATTTGAAACAGGCACAGAAGAAACTATATTATCCAAAGTCAGAGAGTAGTGGAGTCAAAATTTGCATGTAGATTTCTCATTCCATAGTTCATGCTCTTCTTAGCTCTGTGGTCTCAGTTTAATTGTCTGTAAAACTGGGTTAATCTGAAAATTCCACACCTATAGAAGCCCAGTTCTACTCTATCCTGTAAGATTGACTATAAGTCAGAATCGACTCAATGGCTGTTACCTGGTTTGGATAACAGCCCTAGTGGCACAGTGGTTAAAGGCTCAGCTGCAAATGGAAAGGTAGGCAGTTTGAACCAACCAGTTACTCTGCAGGAGAAAGATGAGGCAGTCTGCTCCCTGTAAAGATTACAGCATTGGAAACCCTATGAGACACTTCTGCTCTGTCCGATAGGGTCACTATGAGCCAGAATTAACTTGACAGCAATGGGTTTTGTAATCCTTCTTGAATCCTAAGTCTGTACTTACCTCCACATCAAAGTTGGTCATGTCAGCCTTCCACTTAAAATGATCTTGAACAGCACCCCCAAAATCTCTTGCAGCTTCATTTGAGGTAAAGCAGTGTTTCTCCCCAGCCCTACTGCATGTGACTCTAAACTTTAGTGTCTGATGGTCAGTTTCTTCTTTTGAGCTTTCATCAGTCTCATCTTCTTTGGAAGATGCCAAATCATCACCTACTAAAGTTGATATCTCCTCTTTAATGGCTGGATTTTCATAATAGTCTAAGATATGTGGATCTAAGGCATTGCTAGTGAACTCTTTTTTAACATCTCTCTCATTTATTTTTTCTCCTCGTCCATTATTAATCTTCTCTCTACTTGAATTCTGATTTGATTTTTTGTGCTTTGCTTTTTTTTTCTTGAAACTGGTGTTAATTTTCCATACTTTTAAAGGGTCTGACCATGGGAGTTTCCCAGCCAAATCTTCAAAATCCTTTAGAACTTCTTCCTATCAAGGACAGAGAATGAAATTCATTCATTTCTCACCACCTTAACTGAACAATTAAACCTCTAGTGTGCTACAGACTATACTAATCATTATGCTGGGGGTGTAGCGAATGTAGAACAAAAGAGTAAATAAAATAATGTCACTCTCAAGAAAATAAAAATCTCACTGGTAAGTTAGATATATACAAAGTAAGTCACTAAAGAACAGTACAAGATAGAACGGTAGAATTTACCCAAATCACAGTAAGTAGTTAAAAAAAAAAAAAAAAAGACACAGAAAAGAAAGTTAAAAAAAAAAAAAAAAGATCAGAAGTTTAGACTTCAAGATTAAAACTGAAGTAGTAAGAAACTATTAATAGTGGTTACCTCCATAGAGGGGAAGTAGACAGATGAAAGACAGAGAAGGGAGGGAAACTTACTTCTCACTGACTGAATTCTTTTTGTACTTTTAAAATTTTGTACTGAATATACAAATGAACTATTTTAAAAAATAAGTATTTTAAAGAAAAAAGTTTAATGAGCTTATCTATCCAATTTCTAAATAGCACCAAGTTATCTTTTTAAAAAGTAAATTCAGTCATGCCCCTCCCTAGTGTAAAACTTTGTAATAGCATTTCACTGTACATAGAAAATCTAAATTCCTTTCAAAGACTAACAGAATTTGACCCCAGCCTGTTTCTCTTGTATCACTTCAGGATCATTCTTTCCTTCACTCCCAATTCTGCTTGGAAATATACTTGTTTCACTTAGTCTCACTGTGCTGCCAGCTCCTTTCTCATTGTTTAATGGCAATTTAAAAAGGCATATCCTCTGAGCACTTGTTCTATTTAAAGAAATATTCCCTAGTTACTCTCTTCCCATCTTACTTCTTTAGTATTATCTGAAGTTAAGAAGTCCCTGGGTGGCACAAATGGTTAAGCATTTGACTACTAACCAAAAGGTTGGTGGTTCAAGCCCACCCAGAGGGTGCCCTGGAAGATCTGCTTCCAAAAGGTCATAGTCTTGAAAACTCTATGGAGTTCCACTGTGTACACATGGGATCACCATAAGTTGAAATCAACTGGACGCCAGCTGGCTTGGTTTAGTTTTTTTGATATCTGGAGTTAGTAGATTTATGTATTTACTTGTTTATCATCAATTCTCCTCCCAGAAGATAAGTGCATGGTAGAATGAACTTTATTTGTGATCACTGCTACAGGGCAACATGTACAAAAATGCCTGATCTTTAAACAACTACTGCATACTATGTGATTAAATATTAAAATGGGTAACCTAGACCTGCACTATCCAACGTAGTAGCCACTAGCTATGTGTAGGCATTTAAATTAAAATTCAGCTTAGGCGTGCTGCCTAAGGCATTTGACTGCTAACCAGAAAGCTGGTGGTTCAAAACCACCAGCCACTCCTCAGAAGGAATTTACTCCTGTAGTGATACCACCTTGGAAACCCAAGAAGGGGTCGCTATGAGTCGGATCCGACTCAACAGCAGTGAGTTTGGTTTTTTTGGTTTTCAGTTGTACTAGTCACATTTCATGTGCCGATGGCTAATGTCTCCCATGTTGGACAGCAAACAGAACATTTCCATCAGGAAGTTCTACAGCTCAGGGTTGCTAGACAATATGTTACTGAAGATCAAAGCAGAAAGAAATCAGTGCTGACTGATGGAATTAATACTTGAAGTGACGGTTTGATACTACTTGAAACTTGCTAAAATAATGTCAACTTCAGTTTTGGAAAATTCAATTATCTTTACAAATAATTTCCCTACAAAGTGCCTCTAGAGTACTTGCAGCTTTAACACGGTCCACTGCCTCCTTTCCTCAGAAACTGGTCTAAGAAAAAGAAACACTGATTCATTTTTATTGAATCTAGATTATATCTATACTTTGAACTACAACATAAGAATCACCAAATGCAATGAAGGTCAAACAAAGGTATAGGAAGACACGATAGAGAACGCCTACAGACCTCAGAAAAAGGGCAAATCACAGTCAGTAGGTAGCAGATCAATTCTTGTCTGCAACAGCAGAAAAGAAGTAGGTGCACTGATGGTGGGAGCTTCCCTGGACTTCATTCGTACCAAGGAAAGCAGAGGAGGGAAGTAAGGGCTGAACAAGTACACAGACAAGCTGAAATTAGTCTGAAAACAGTCTGTTGGTGATGTAGAGTGGGGAAGAGAATAACACTGTGAATAGCCCCAAAGCTGCTGATTCCTTGAGGCTAAGATAAGGAGAAGTAAAAGCTAAAAGAACTCATTCAATGGTATGGAAAGTATACTTCAAGAAGGCCAGTTTTTGGGTTTTTTCCCCCCCTAAAAAAAAGGAGAACTAATTCACCCATACTTCTTAGTAAGAAGGAACTGTGAGCCAAAGAAATTTCCTGCTGGACTAGAGCTTGTTTCAAGTTTCTCCCATTGTAAGAACTTCCTACGAACAGTCAAATGCCTTAGACACTATGCCACCAGAGCACCTTTTTTCCCCCATATGAACAAGTCCAGGAAGAGCTGCCTCATTCAAAGATCAATAGTTATTAAATGGTATCAGCACAGGAGATTTCTGGTAAGATGGAGGAATAGGCAGACAAACGACACAGACCCTCTTCAACGAAGAAAAGAAAAACCAATTGACAGAGATACAGAAGATAATCCTGGAACCCTGAGCTTTGAAAGGAACTATACAAAAGTGGATTAGGCACCAACTAGTGGAAAAACCTGAACGAAAACATTGAGTACAGAGATGGTCGGTCAGTGCTGCGGACTGTCAGCTACTCTGATGAGACCAACAGCCTGAATATTTCCAAGTGGTGTTGGGACCTGAGAATTGACCTAAAGATCAGTCCCAGTCACCAAGGGCTGCAGGGACAACTGTTCTGGTGGCCTAGGACTAGGAAGGGCAACAGCAAGGAGGGAAACAACCTGAGCTGTGGACTTTCTGCTGTCTGGAGGGCACAGCCACTTTGATTGTTTACATGTGGCAGCCATTTTGGATATTTAAAGTGACCAAGGGCACAGCCATTTTGATGTTTTCAAGTGGCAACCATTTTGGATTTTAAAGTGATTAGCATTCTCACTGAAAGAGAAGAATTTCCAACCAAAAATTATGTACCCAGCAAAACTGTCCCTTAAATATGATGGTGAAATTGGGACATTTCCAGATAAGCAAAAATTAAGGGAGTTTGTTAAAACCAGACCAACCCTACAAGAGATGCTAAAGGGAGGCCTTTAGACAGAGAAGCAACAACAGCCAACAACAAGTGACCATTAACAACATGGTGATATAACCCAGAAACCAATCCAGCTATGGAGTATCCAAAGTAAATAAGGCTACAAGATTGTAAACAGGGAACCAGAGACATCAATTGACAAATGAGGACAACTACAAACCAAAAAGAGGGAAAAAACTGTGTTGTTACAGACCATCTAGATGGTAGGGAAGTCAAGACAATTACAAGATACAACAGAGTTTTCTACACTTGGGAAGAAAACTATAAATCACAGGGTGACTGCAAAGAAAAAAGAAAAAAAAAAACAAAAAAAAAACCCTTCACATCAAAAAAGAGGACCAGCATAAATATTCAGCAAATACTAAAACAATAACAATGAGGGAAGTGATAACATGATTCATAAACAAAATGAGCTCAGCATAGAAAATTATATGGAACAAGCAATCGACACCACAAAAAAGTGCGTAACAAAAATGACAGCAACAAATTCATATTTGCCAATAATTACATATTTGGCAAGGGACTTATCTCTAAGATTTGTAGTGGAAGAATGGATGACCAAACTATGGTACATACACACAATGGATTGCTATGCATTCCACAGCAAATGAAGAATGTAGAGTCTGCAAAACATTGCATAATATGGATGAACTTGGAGGACATTATGCTGAATAAAATAAGTCAATCACAGAAGAACAAATATAGTAGTTCGTTGTTTTGGAGGGTCAAGGAACAGTTTATATATGGAGGAAACTTTCTTTGTTCGTTGCCAGGGTTTGGAGGGAAGGGGAGGGAGAGAAGGGAACACTGAAAAAAAAAAATGCATTAACGCATGTCACTATAGTTTTGTGTATTTCACTGTACATAAATTATATTTCAATAAAATGCATTAAAAGTATCAGCACAACATTTACATAAAAGTAGTAAAAGAAAAAAAAGAGGAAAGGAACAGAAAAACAGCAAACAAAAAATAATGATCATAAAAACACTGCCACAGAATAGTTTAAAACTGTGATCAAACACTGATATGACACCAAACATGTAATGAGGAAATATCTTTGTAAAATAAGATCTCAAAGGAGAGTGATAAAAGCAGAAAGAAGATGAGGTAAGCTGCCAGAAGGAGATGAAATAGGAGCCTGTAAAAGTCAAAGAAAAAGTGGAATGAAAAAATAAAACTATCAGAAATGAAAACCATTTTGAAAGCTGGACATGTAAAAGGCACTGCTAAAAACACAGTAAAAGATGTAGAAAAAAGTAACACAAATAAAATGGAAATTAACTAAATTAAGAAAGGATGGGAAAGAAATAGACAAATATGAAAGACAGTCAAAGAAGACTGTACATATTTATAACTAATATGCCCAAAGAAGGGAATTAAAATAATTAAACAGCAACAAAAAATTTTTTTCAAATAATTAAAATAAAATTGCCAGAAATGTAAGCACAGATGACTCTCTCTGTAGATTTACTGGTCCCAACAAAGAATTGTCAAGAATGAGTTACATCCTGGAAGCTAAGTAGACTTCAAAGATTTTGAAAAGAACAAAACAAAAAACTAAGTATCAAGAAGACAATAAACAAGGGGGAAAAAATACCAGGATGGTCTCAGGGTTTTCCACAGCAAGATATAACGTTGTTGTTGTTCTGTGCCATTGAGTCGGACCCACTTATAGCCACCCCTCGAGTTTACGAGTTGGTATCACTACACATGTTAGATTGCCCAACCTTCCTTCCAAGGAGTGGTTGGTGGGTCTGAACCTCCAACCTTCTGGTTAG